AAAATCATCATAAAGGCAGCTCCAACATTATTCCTAGACGTTTATAATGCATGCCTTAAGAAGGGGACTTTTCCTGGTAAGTGGAAACAGCAACGATTGGTATTGTTACCTAAAGGGAAGAAACCACCGGATGAGCCGTCATCTTACCGCCCACTCTGCATGCTGGATACAGCGGGTAAGATATTTGAACGTATAATTCACCAGGGAATTGAGGCAGTAGTCGACCCACTTCTGGCAGACAATCAGTATGGATTCCGGAAAGGGCGATCAACCCTGGACGCAATCAAACTAGTTGTTGATACGGCCAAGGAAGTAATCGCAGGAACCAGATGGAAGGGTGGAACGAAGGAGTATTGCCTGGTGGCGACCCTAGACATCAGAAACGCCTTCAACTCTGCCAATTGGGAATGCATCATGCAGGCCCTCCAAGAGAAGAATGTACCAGAATACCTTCTTAAGATCGTAGCAAACTACTTTGAAAACAGGGTCCTGAAGTATGACACGAAGAACGGTCCGAGGGAGTATGATATCACTGGAGGTGTGCCACAAGGCTCAGTTCTAGGCCCGCTCCTGTGGAATATTATGTATGACGGTCTACTAAGACTAACTCTGCCACACACACACACACACACACACACACATACAGCCGCACGGACACCATCGCGGGAATAGTCAGGGAAGCTTCCTAGGACCTCAAAACGTCGAGATCCGATGAAAACTCGATTTTCGAAAAATGGGGTGAAAACAATAACTTCCCGATTTTTGAAAATTTTCAATTTTCTTAGCGGGAAGTTAAAAATTTATTTTTTACGAAAAATAAAAAAATTGTTTGTCGAAAAATCTCAAAATCTAGCTACTTCAACGCCATCTAGCATGCGGGCAAAGCCGCGGGTAAAAGCTAGTATGCTATAACTTCGGTTTTTCTTCAGGCACCCGAAAATTTTCTTGAGCCAAGAATTTGTTCTCCAATCAAGAAATTTTTCTTTCTGTCAAATAGCAAGGCCCGCATCATACAAAGTTCCTTGAATCTTTATACAAAAACTTATGTTCAATTATTAGCTAATTTCACACTTAATTAATTATTTCATTTTTTATAATTTTTACCAATTTTTTGAAATTATTCAGTGTGTAAAAAATAAACATAAAATCTTTAAATATTTCATTCTCGGCTGTGAGTTTTTGGATACATACAAGCGGGTCGCTAGACTCAAGTACCTACTTTTATGACTCTGTCCGCTGAGGTCATATAAATGCAGCCTCTTGTTCTCTTCGTAACCCGAGCGCTCATCTGGTTCGATTTAAAATATTTTCCGTTTTCACTTTCTCTTTTTTTTTATATGTAATATTTTTGTCAACGTATTTTTCTTAACAATATTTCTCGGAAATGTACCCCCAATAATAAAATGAAAAGAGTCTCTGTACTCTGTTGTGCATAAAATACTACCAAAAGCGTCAGTCCAAAAGGATCTCTCTAAGCGACAACTACGTCGATTGCAGTCAAGTTCCAATTTCAAATCGAATACTTTTTCTTAGCATCTCTTCTTTTAACTAAGCACCAATTCTTAAGATCTACATTCAAGTTTTCTTAATCGCTGAGTTTCACTTAAAGTGAATTGTGAGGTGAAATATCAGTGTATTTTCATCAATCTGTGATTGAAGTTCACTACGACGTCGATTCACCACCATCACCACGACTCTACAGCCACCAGCTCAGACCGCTACATTCAATATATTCATTATTCGTTCAAGAGCTCAAGCAGAACATGGTATTGTATTTTAGTAAACTTAAAATACCAAAAAGGTACGAACCAAATTTATACTTGCATGCATATTCAATACAACACTTTCCTCAGCGTCGGGAGAATGTCGGTCCGGCATTCAGCCCCAAACCGCCCACCGGTGCTGAACTGAGTTACTATTTCATTTCACATTCAAATACAATACGCTCATTATGATATTGCACATCTTTCACATTCCATGCATAATACAAATACTGAGTCTGAGTCGAGTTGAGACTTCACGAGCAAGTTCTCCAACTATTCATGTACAGTGTCACTTTGAGCCCCTGCTGAGCCGACCCGAGAAAAAATGTTTCTATATAATCATATATAATTGTATATAGTCATATATGATTATATATGATTATATATGGAATCACATATATAATTATATATAATCATACATGATTATATATGGAATTGTGTATGAGGTTATATATAATCATATATAATTATATATGACTATATATTGAGCGATATACAACCATGCAGGATGATATATAGTTCCATATACAAATATATATAAGTATATAAAATTATATATAATCATACATGATTATATATGGAATTGTATATGAGGTTATATATAATCATATATAATTATATATGACTAATATATATAGAGCAATATACAGCCAAGCAAGATTATATATAATTATATATATAGTTATATATAATCATACATGATTATATATGGAATTGTATATGAAGTTATATATAATCATATATAATTATATATGACTATATATATTTGGTAATTACGTAAAGTGTAAAATGATGTTTATAATTACGTTTACATAATTCTGAAATACAAAATTTGTCACATTTTCTATGAGATGTTTTTTCTGCTCTGCTACTACGTAATAGTAAAATCATTATTTATTTTATTATTTAAATAAGTGTTATATTATAATGAAATTCGGTAAGATAAATAAATTATGAATAATGACTATCCAAATATATTATAAAATCAATTTTTATATTATATTTATGATAAACTCATATGATACATTAAGTAGATCATAGAATCATTATTGTCTAAGATAGCAGCACAGCAGACAGAAACTTCAAGACGCACGGAGATCATCAAAGTTAAGCAGCATTGAGCAGGGTTAATAGTTGGATGGGTGACCACTGGTGTTATAGCCATAAAGTTAGATCTAGATATTTTTTTTGCATTTTGATCGGTTACACAGAATTGCGTAGGACCATATTAAATACTCTATCCATAAAATTAACCCAATAATTAATTAGATGTAATAAATCTATAATTAAATATTGTTATATATAATTATATATAGTTATATATATAATTATATATAATTAGATATGATTATATTTGGCCATTTTTGATATATAATCATATATAACCAATTTATATGAGTTACTATTTCAATTCATATTCAATTACGATACACTCTTTGTGATGCTGTACATATTTCATATTTCATGCACAATACAAATACTGAGTTTGAGTTGAGTTGAGACTTCACGAGCAAGTTCTCAAACTGTTCATGTGCAGTGTCATTTTGAGCCCTTTCTGAGTTACATCCGATTACATACATGAAATTCAAACGATTATCGAGATTGAACTACTACAATCTATACAAATCAACTATTCCTACCAACTTCCTTTCATTCTTCGATTTCACATAAACTTCATCCAATCAATGCAAACCTATTCAAAAATCTGAATCTCAAATTCGAATCATTACCCGATCATACAGTCCACTATCTCTCCACAATCTATCCACTTTCAATTTCTCGCAATCTTTATTCAAATTCACAACAAGCTACATTGTTCGCTTCGATTTACAGATCATTTTTAAAACGAGCGTACGAGCTTACAAGTGAACGAACGAACGAGCGTACGAGCGTACGAGCGAACGAGCGAACGAGCAAACGGGTGAACGAGCAAACGAATGAACGAGCAAACGAGTGTACGAGTAAACAATTACTCAAAACCGAGTCCACGAATTCATTCCGAACTCCTTTCACCTCCAGAAGCCAGCTTCGCACGGTTGGAAGTCAGGCTCCTTCCAGAGATCATCTCCAGACAACCACAAAGGCTAACTTCACTCCAGTTCAACTTCCTCACGATCTTGCTGGGACCAGATTCATCAATATTAAATACATAATATTATTGTTAATAAAATTGTATTAAGAAAACATACATTTCGAAATACATAATCAAACAACTTAATTTTCTTCTATTTGAACATCCACATAAACGTCGTAAAATAATAGTTACACTGCTCCGATCACTTACAAATTTTAATACAATACTTCCAAGCGGCACATATTTTATTTTTGTTAAATTTAAGCAATTTAAGTTGATGATTATTAATTTTTAACTTCTTGTAGAGTAAAATCTACCAAAAAGTCGACATTTTTTTTGTGACGCTCGGGCTTTTAAATGAATGTACTTTCAAAAAATGTAAAAAAAAAAAAATAAAATATCTTTTAAAGTTACAAATGAGAATCACCTCTTTTCTTTCCATTGCTATTAGCAGTCCAGCTGGCTTTTAAAAAATGACCCCTTAATTCATTATTTTTCCTTATTTCAAATTTAACATCTAAATAACAAATAATAATAATTGCAATTACATAAAAAAACGCAGATGGCGTTATGATTTCAATCATCATCTTTGTTAATTAATTTCATATAATGCGTGATAAATTGATAAATATTGATAAAAATGGGAGATTTAGATAAAAACTGTTATTGCACCAAAACTCAGGTAATTTTTTCGAAAAAAATTATATAGATTACTTAAAAAACTAAATTTTACTTCTTAGAATACTTTTGAAGTAAAGAGTTATACAAAACTAAATCCTGAATTGAGGTTGGAATTGAAACGAATTACAAAATTATTAATAAAACCCCAGAAGGGTTTTTTAGATTTGTCGATACCATCGGAAAATTCCAATGAACCTAGGAACGATTTAAAATTTTTGAATGGATTCTCCGATATTTTGTCGTCAGATGAAGTAATAAATTTTCTTTTAACCTACAAAAAAGTGAAATAAAGTAAATTATTTTTAATTTTTTAGCTGTCGGAATACATTACTGCAGTAATTGTCGACTGGAATACATCATCTGCAGAAATATCAACCGGCTGTTGGAAGCTTCCTAAAGTCATGGCCCAGAAAAGTATCGTCACTGGAGTTAAAATAGATCAAGGAACGGTACCCCTTTTTGGAACTTATAATGAAATGGTAACTCAAGGACTGGACGATCTCCATAGCAAGTGTCTGATGCTCAAGGAAAATAATTGCCAATTTACAACTTGGAAATGTATTTTCAAAATCTCTAATCAATGGCCCAGCGCTTTAGCTTCAACGGCCAACGCTCTAGCAGCAGCAAGGTTATTATCTTATTTAAAATTTCCTGAAAAAAAAATTTTGCCACATATAATTTCATGCAATATTTTATGAATAATTATTTATAATTTTATATTATCATAAATATCTTTATCTTTTCATAAAATTATACAAAATTATTTAAAAATGGTTTTAAAATTATATAATAGTCTTATATCGTAATATAATTTTATACAATTTAGAATCTTGTCATACAATTTTATATGATTTCTCTGAACTAGATGAGTGTACAGTAAAATTATCGGAGGTTTTGGAATTAAATAAATTTATATAGAATTATATAAAGTTATACATAAATAACTGCAGAAATTGATGAAAAATTTTGACTATATAATTTCAATAATTTTTTTTGTTTTTTTTTCAAAAAGCACATTTAAAAAAAAATTTAAAAAAACGCCCCTAATAAGTTTAATTTAAAAAAGTTATAACTATTTAAAAAAAAAAAAAACAAAATTTTTATTTTATTTAAGTTTATAAATTTTTGTTGCTTCAAGTCTTGGCCTGGTTTAATTTTATATAATTTTTAAATTTTATATAATTTTCCATAGCTTTGCTAAACTAGGATAGAATTCTGTATGGATTTAATAAATATTAGACTAATTTAATGTATGAGACAATCATTGAATGAATTTATACGGAATTATATAAAATTATATTTCACCAAAACTTTCATAATTTTATATAATCATGAATGAACAATTTTATTCATTATTGTATATAAGTAACAGTATAAAATCATACGTAATTTGAGGCCGTATATATAATTTCATATAACTGAGTATAATATCACTTTTAGATTCCTATAATGTTATATACTTCAATCTAGTTTGATATAATTATCAAATAGTGTACATAAACGACTATATAAGCTTATCCGTAAATTTGACCGCATACAATTTTATATGTAAATTTATATAATTATCAATAACTTTGAATCGTACAAAACATTATTCAAAATTATGTAAAATTACACATTATTGACATGTTATCATTTTATACAATTTTTTAATCTTGAAGTATAATTTTATGTGATTTTGTTGGAGATAGATAAATGTAAATTACAATTATATAAAGGCAATACATACACAGAAAAAAAATTAACCTGAATCAAATGAATAAATTTGAAGAACTTCATCTTCTTGTTTTGAGTAAAAAAATCCTTGAACTAAGAAATTTTTCTTGGTTGAAATAAATTTTACTTGATTAAAGAACTTTTCGTCTTGATTCAATACAATGAAACTTTTCAAAATTATTTTTTTGGTTTAAGAATTTTGCTTGTGATTCGTTAATTTTTTTAGTGTAGTTATATATAATCATATGAATTTTTAAATTAATGAAACTACTTACAAAAATTTTAATTTCAGGTACGCTAGCGTAACTCAAAGTACAGGAATGATTCCAATAGTTCACCTAGAAATAATAAATCTCCCAAAAGCAACTTACTCAATTATTCGAGCCCTTGAAGCTCACCAAGAAATTCTATCAAATTTTTTCTCAGCCTTCAATCAGTATCACGTCGCCCTCGAAAGCATTATCCTTATGCTCGCTATCATCGAACCTGGGATCGATAATGCTGCGTACCACGACCCATGCGTAAGTATTAAAACCTTACATCCTCTGTTCCATTCAATCGCTTGAGTACTATCTCTACCTCTATCTTTACTTCTTTAGACATTAGCTGATTATACTTCAACTCTCCTAAATCAATTACTTCCGCCAGCTATTCCAGCAATTATTCTGTCGGCAACAAATCAACAATTTAGCAATTATTTAAATGCACTCACTCAAGATAAAGATCTTAAATCATGGAAATTATTGTTCCACTGCCTCAAAGCACCAAGAAATTCATCTAAAAATATATCTGATGACACTTTAATGCTGTTAGAGGATTTACATAATTTTTTTCACGCTCATTTAAATATCAAACACAAAAATTCACTTTCCTGGGATTAATTTTATTCTTAACAAATTAAATCTATCGTCAAGTTAATTTTAAAAACGAGAATGATTACATCAAATTTAGATATTTTTTTTAATTATATAAAATTTATTATCAATAAACTAATTACATCATCTTATTTAGCCCCTTTTTGCAATTACACTTGATCACCCGCTAGACTAACGACTGATTTCTTCATCTGTTTAAATTAGAACTAATTATTCCGGTTTGTAATAACAATAGTATAGTCTTGAAGTAATAGTCATGTGTAGCTGGGGTTATTCTATATTTATTTATTTAGTAGCAAATATACATATGATATTGAAAAAACTAATACATACACTAAAAAAAAAAAAAAAAAAAAAAAAAAAAAAATAATTTGAATTAAGAGAACAATTATTGAATCAAGTAGAATTTATTTAAAGCAAGTAAAATTTCTTAGTTTAAGAATTTTTCCACTTTAATCCAGATGATAAAGCTCTTCAAAATAACTTTTTTTATTCAAGTTAATTTTTTTTGTGTATAGTTGATATATGCAACTGCAATTGCAATTCAAGGTTCGCGGAACCAGTAATACATGTATCTAATATACATTGTGTACCTGAATTGTTAGTCGATATTGATACTGTAATGTAAACAGTTAAAGTGTCGATGTCATAAGAGAGAAACTAAATATAACGACATTAATTGTCATATCCGCATACTAAGTCGTAAAAAAAATGATTCTAAACTTCCTAAAATTGCACACTCTTTAAATTTATGAAATTAAAAAAAATCTTCATTTATTTCTTTAAATTAGTATTCTTATTGCTATTTAAACCATTAGATCAACTACAATACATAATAACAAGTCTTATAGTATTACAGATAAGCGTCCAACAGCTTTGATTTTCAAAATTAGTTATCGTTGACTAGTTTTTTAAGTAGATCTTGATGGAGTTCCTGAAGCAACTGTTGATATTTCTCAGGATTTTCTCCGTTTTTTTCAAACCAACGAAAAAATAATTTAAACCCGCCCAACGCTTCAATGAAGGTCGGACAGACATCATCTAAAATAGAATTAGTAGGCAATGACGGTAGATCTTTGTAATGAACCTCGTCATCCAACTCTTCAACAATATCAATCGCGTGATTGTCAGGCTGTCTTTCCAATAGAATGTCTTCATTGGTATAAGCTTGCCAGCCGAAATCATCAGCATCTACATTCAGCCAGTTAGTTATTTCATCAATAGATAAATCATTAAATTGTGGGATTTTATGTAATAGAGTTTGGAATTCAGATACTTCAATTAATTGAACTCTAAAAATATCTTGAGTTTCTTGCGGAATAAAATTTTTCCAGCTATTTTTTATGTCGTTTTCCGAAATTGAGTTCCACGCTAGTAGACAAATGTTAAAACAATTGATTAAATCAAGCGATTTCAAATGATCTTCTCCACCTTGTAGTCCATCTTCGGCTAGTATTCGTTGTAATAACATACTTCGAAATGATCTTTTAAATTTTTCAATTATTCTCTGATTAAGAGGCTGGATAAGCGTGGTAACATATGGAGGCAAGTACATTATGCTACATGAAGAACACATTTGATTCAGTTCTTCAGCTGGTGGATGACAAGTGGCGTAGTCCATTATCAATATGATTTTAGTGTGCGGATTATTTTCTAGATCATGTTCTCTTTTAATTTCAGGCAAGAACACTGAACTGTACCATGTTTTCATTAGGTCATACGTCATCCAAACATTTACTTGATTGGCATAATGAACCGGTAGATGGTTTACGTTTTTAAAACACCGAGGCTTTGCGTACTTTCCAATAATAAACAAAGGGATTTTATGGGTACCGGTAGCATTTGTACAAAATAAAATAGTAACCCGATTTTTTGGTTTTTTCCTACCTCCTTCTGGACCTATTAAAGTTTTTGTAGGCATTATCTTCCAGTATAAAGCACTTTCGTCGCAATTATAAATGTACTTAAGATCAATTCCAGTTAGCTCTCCAATATTTTCCATTTTAATTTTCACATTACTTTCTTCAATTGTTTCGACATTCGGAGTTAATTTTTCACCAGGGATCGTTTTTTCTCCAATTCCGTGTCTTATTTTAAACCGTGAAAGCCAACCGTCATTAGCTGCAAAATTCTCCTTACCACCAAGACGTTTATTAAAAAGTAACGCTTTTTCTTTTAACATTGGACCAGAAACTGCAAAGCCCATACTACGTTTTTGTTTGAACCACTCGTAAATTTTCCGATCTAAAAGACCATCTTCTGTAGCTTTGTATTTTTTTTTCTCCAAATTTCCGCCACAACTTGTCAGGACCTCTTTCGTTTGAAGGAGCTTTGTTTCCGAATGTTTTATTCTACAAATTGCCTGTCTTGTTACTTTGTACTCTCGTGCCAAATTATTCATTGATTCACCAGCTTTGAGGCGTTCAACTATTTTACATCGGTCGTAAATTGACAAACATGTTCTTTTAACCTGAAAAAAATTTTTCAATTTATATTTACATTATGTCTTAAAAATAGTTTTTAATAATGAAAATGAAGTTAGCTGACAATTTAAAATTTTTATTAATTTTTTATCGAAAAAATTTCAATTAAACAATTAAAAAAAAAAATATCATATGTTGAAAACTTAAAAAACTATAAGTGCAATTTTTTATAAATATATTTTTAATTGTAATTTAATTAAAAAAAAAAAAATCAAAAATTTTTAGACGTCTGCTAACTTCAGTGTCATTTTTAATAGTTATTTATTGATTGATGTAAATTAATTATTCACTTTTTTAGTTTAATAAAATTTTAGTAAAATCAATCATGAACTAACCAAATATATTAATTTATGATAAGCGGAATATTTATCTTATAATTTATATTAATAATAATAATAATAATAATAATAATAATAATAACGCCGAGGAAAAACTACTCCTTGGTGAACTAATGGACAAGTCCATGCACAGTGTGTTCTTCAAACACGTGCGTGATCGTGGCTTGTCCACCCAGCTGACGTTTTCTTTCTTAAAGTCAGCTGGCCTGATGTCTGAGACTGAAGGGTTCATATTTGCCTGTCAAGATGGTGTCATTAACACTCTAGAGTACTGTAGCAAGGTGCTCCAGGTGCAGCTTCCGGACACATCCTGCAGGGCGTGTAAACAACGTCCGGAGACGCTTATGCACCTTTTGTCGGCATGTCCAGTGCTGGCAAGAGGGGCATACGTCCAGCGTCATAATGTTGCCCTGAGAGTACTGTACTATTATCTTCGTCATTGCTACGGTATTGACGTGACACCAGTGCTGCCTTATCTGCCAGGAGATATTCCCCAGGTTGTTGAGAATGACAGTTGCAAAATCTATTGGAACATGCCATTTGCAACGACCCGGCGGATAGATCACAATAAACCTGATATTGTGCTCTTCGACAAGGCTACTCGTGACATTTATGTCATAGAGTTTTCGGCCCCGGCTGAATACAACATCTCAGCCAAAGAAGAGCACAAAAGACAAATATATCAGGATCTCCTGTTTGAAATTGGCAAACTTTACCCAGGTTACCGTGTCAAGCTTGTCGTCCTGATTGTTGGCGTCCTTGGAGGGATGAGACAGTCTTTTGTATCCTCACTTGCCAGAGTTCCAGCTTGCTCATCAAAAGCTGAGTTCTTGGCAGTTAGGATGCAGAAGGCTGTGATACTAGGTTCCCTCCGTCTACTTAGAGAAATGACTTTGGCCTGCTGTGATCACTAACCGCCTTGTTGTGCGGAGTGGTCCAGCAGTAATGGATGGAGCTCAGGCTGGGCCCTCGGAGAGTCGGACTCCGGGGACAACCCCCCTGAGCATTTAATAACATAATAATAATAATAATAATAATAATAATAATAATAATAATAATAATAATAATAGCTACCTTATTCATGTCTGATTTTTTATTCAAACTGATTTTATAAAATTATTAAAATATGAACATTACGCACACCTAATATAAAAAGGCACGTATTTTTCATGTGTCAATGGTTTCATCAATTTTCATATATAAATTGGTTTATGCATAGCACCTAATGTTTTGTTTTAGTGCGCATCCAAGAGCGCAAGGACAAAAAAAAAGCACTTACAAATTTAAAGCAGCTTCAACGAGAAATCCTGAAGGGAGTGTAGCTTTAGAGAGCTAAGACTATAAATTTTTCATCATATTTATAATTTACGCCAATAAATTTTTTTGATAAAGAAAATTAGCAAATTTTAATAAAAATATTTTTTTGTTCTTCTAAGAAAGATGAGAATTTTTAACGATACTAAAATTAGCCGACGTTCAACAATTTTTTATTTTATCCATCAATTAAATTGCAAGTAAAAAATAATTAAAGAAAATTGCACAGATAGTTTTTCAAATTTTCAACTTGTGAAATTTTTTCTTTTAATTTTTTTGTAATAATTTTTTCAATAAAATAAATTATAAAAATTTTCAGATGTCGGCTAATTTAATTTTCATGAATTTTTAGAGTGCTGAATTTAACAGACATCTAGCAATTTTTAGATTTTTATAACAATTAAATTATAACGAAAAAAATTTAGCAAAAAAAATCCACATGTAGAAATTAAAAAAAGTTTTAAGTGCAAATTTTAAAAAATATATATTTTATTATAATTGATTGGTTATAAAAATTCATGAATTCTTACAGTAGATTGGTGTAATAGTTATAATTTTTAAAGAATCCATGTACTATTATAATACACAATTTGGGAGCAAAAGCACGAGTTCACGCATTTGATCCCTTGCTCCAATTCTTACCCCCCATAAACTTTGAACGAAATGAATTGATCAATAGTTTGAATGGGTTCTTCATTCTGGTAAACAATTTCTTAACTCTAATCTGTGAAAATAATAATTTATGTATTTACAAATTCATGAGAGTTCATAACAATTAAAGTTCAATGACTTTCTTATATGAATGTAAATGAATATTATCATTGATATTGAAATCAACCTATATAACATACAATGTACGTACATATAAATGATTAGTATCCAATGTACAAGATACTTGTTTTTCTCATTTAATAAACGATAACAATAATTTTGATTAAATTTTAAAAGATTTAAAACAATTTGACTGCTTTTAAATATAATTTCAATAGAATTCAATAAAATTTAATAAACTCTCATTAGTTTATTCTTTTGAAGTTATTAATTTTCATAGAATTTTATAGAATTTCATATAGTTTTCAGAAATAAAGATTTAGTATAATTTTATATCAATCATAAAATCTTTTTTTGATTTCAATTCTATACAATTAAACGTTGTCAAATTTGAATACTAAAATGGTGATAAATTTTCTGAGCTTACGTGAAATTTATTGACACAAAAATAAAAAATTTATAACTGAAAAATTTTTTTAACTAATTAATTTTTTACTCTAATTAATTTTTTAAATAAAAAAAAATTTCGATATTTAAATTGATACTGAAATTGAGATATATATCTGATAATTTTTATAATTTTTTTAACAAATAAATTATAACAAAAAGAATTTATTAAAAAAATTTGATTAGAAGCTCTAAAAAATTATAAATGCAATTTTTGTTAAATAATTTTATAGGCCTAGTTTATTTTTCAAGAAAAATAAAAAAATTGTCGTGTCTGTTATTTAAAAGGGATTTTGTCTTAATTGTACGGAAATTTGTCTTTGTGTCCCTTTTAATTTATAATAAAATTTTCGAAGTACGCATTCGTAATTATCAATTATCAAAAACATATGATAGGGTCATTAAAATTTTCCTCAGCAACCTGTAAAAAGAAAAAAATCTTATCCAACAGAAACTAGAAAAAAAAATGACCAATAAGCTAGATAAAAAAATTCCACTTTAAAAGATCACGTCTTATCATTCCAAATTTTTTCGCATAAAAAAACAAAAAATTTGTTGTTGTTGTTGTTGTTATTAAAAAAATAATTATAAATTATCTAAGGTTAAGTTTGATAGACCTTGACCTTGACCTTTTAAATAATTTGAAATGTTTATTAACATCTAACTACAATTCGATGCCCTTGGTTGACCTCTAAACAGTGACAGTCAATGTGACGGTCCCTTTGCGTCAGCCAAACGTTTGCTATTCTAACGAATCTCGTACGTCATCTGAGTGTAAATCGTTCCATCAGACACGTCAGCATGATGAAACGCTCCAGCAATACCCAGTCCCATTGCGTCATCGATTTCAAATCTGGGAATAAAAAAGTAATTAATTTGTGCCAGAACCTGCTAATGATTTTGCGAATCAATGGAAATAAATAGTAACACTGAGCTTAATTAATGGATTTTTTTTTTCAGAGTAAAAATAGAAATGGTTGATAGATGAAGTGGTTGAGAACCTCAAAATTACTACGTGACCGCGCCGGCGCAAGTTAGCAGTCTAGGGGAGATTTTATAATTTCATCAATTGTCAGGTCAGTCGTTCAATTCCTCGAGTCTGGACTAGATCGATACAGAGTTTTTTAAATTTCAATTAATTACTCCAACTTAATAATCCATGTAAGTATTTATTTTATTGTTATTAATTATTATTGGTAATTTAAAGTTATTACTTATCATTTTTTTAATTTTTATTTTCTTCTTTTTTTTATCTCAATTTTTCGTCAAGTGACGTAATATTGTTTTAAGTTTTAAGTTTGTAAAAATGAATTTTTTCGGATGATTGGAAACATTTGTTACGTGAAGATTTTTTATAAATAGAGCTTGAAAATTTCCATATGACCTTAATAACCTGGTCAAGGTTACCGTTTTGTTTCTAAATCAATTGACATTTTTTCGAAGTTAACTACTACCAAGTTAAAAAATTTCTAATTAAAAGAATTCATTTTTTAATGACAGTAATTACTCACTTATTGATTAATTGACATTTTTTTTTATATTATTGGTAGCACGATAATTTTTTTTGTGTTTCGTAAAAATTGAACTATTTTAAATGAAATTACAAAAAAAACAATTTATAAGTGAGTGAAAAAAAAAAATCTTTACGAGTATTTTTTAAGAAATTTTTTTTTTTTTAATTACAGTCGAAGTTTTTAATACTGATAAGAGCAACTATCTGATAATTAAAAAATTCAATAATTCAATTGGAGAATATATGACATTAAAATTGGCAAAAATTGACAATTTTTTAACATACTTCAGAAATATTAAGTGACAAAAAAAGGATTTTATAAAATACTTGAATTTTTAAAACAAGAAAAATTAGTAGTGATGAAATTTTTTATTAAAGTTTCTATCAATTAAAAAATAAATTAAGTTTTTAATCACAAAAATTTTTTAATTGCGTAATAAAATTTTTTTCTTCACTATTATTATGCTAATTTAAAATTTTAAACAGTTAAAACAATGTAGTAAAGTAAAAAAAAAAAAGTAGTTGATTTCAAAAGCAAAGTTAACATTTTTTTAGTGAACAAACAAACTAGTCGCTAATGAGAAAATAATAATTACATAATTAGATACTTGTTTTAGTAAAATACATTCGTAGTATAATTAAGAAACCAATAGAATAATTTTAAAAATACAAAATTTGAATTAAAAAAAAACACAAATTGTGTTACAATGAGTATTTATCATTCAAAATTAACTGAGAAATATTTTATTATTCTTATTCATTATTGTAGTTTACAATTACTACTCCAAAATAAGTAAAATTAATTCAAACAATCAATCCAAAATTTTTTAAACTGTAAGCCTTTTTCTGCATTGAAAATAACTTTTTCATCAAAAATTTCATCATTACCAATAAATAAAAAAAAAAAAAAAACATTTTTTTCAATAACTTTAAGGCTTAAAAATTTACTGACAAAACAACAAAGTGTAATTATAGTTAAATTATCTAATAGCCTAACCGCGACCATGAAGTTTCAATTAAAAAAAAAAAAGTTGTGTAATTAACAGAGGCGTTGAAAAAATTTTGGCGATAAATCAAAAAGTACTTTTAAAAATAAAATTACGATTCACGGTCGAAATGTCATTGATAAATAAACATACGATAGACATGTTTCTATACTAGTGTAGAAATTAAAAGCATTTTAAATATTGATATGACGTAATAAATAGATAACATTAATGATATTTATATTAGAGATCTTGTTAAGGATATCACAAACAATACGGTGTAAAAATAATAGTAAAAAATATTTAAATGACACTAGAAACATGTGATTGATGTCGGTTGAATGACAGACGAAGACAAAAATACAAGTGGCGCGTGCGCAGATAAATTTTTTACATATGCGCTTGCGCACGTTTGTTGTTAATTGCGTCATTTATTTCGTCATTGAAAATTATGAATTTTTGTTGAGCTCAGGTTATTTTTTCAAAAAATCAATATTTACCGCACGACACGTAAATATAATGAATACAAATATTTTTTAATTTTTTTCTGTTTATTAATGGAAATTTTGGTTGTTTCAACTGTAAATTTATTGAATGAGTTGAGGGTGTACGTGACGTTGGTCACGTAGGCATGACACCCAATAATAATACTAAGTTTTTTTGAATGATTGATTTTTTTACGACGGTCTAGTAATAGAAAATATTTTTCAGAATGCCAGCTGAAAAGTACGCAGCAGCAGACCCGGAATTGAAAGCCGAGCTTAAACAGATAGCTGAGGCGATCGTTGCTCCTGGAAAAGGTATTTTGGCCGCTGATGAATCTACGACCACTATTGGTAAACGTCTGCAGGACATAAACGTCGAGAATAATGAAGACAATCGCCGGGCTTATCGTCAATTGTTGTTCACTACTGACAAGGTAAATTTTTTTTTTGCAATTGTGAGCTAGATCTCTTAATACCTCCAGTATTAGATCTTGAAGATCTAAAAATGTCTTATCTGTTTATATAAGGTACTAATTATTGACACTATAAGATATATAGTAAGGATTACTATTTTTTCAACATGTCTAGAATAAAGATTATTGAATTTTTTTCACATTGTATTAATTAAAATTATTCACAATTCTATTAATTACAAACTAGCAAGTTGCAGTCACTATGCGATTACCGAGATTTACGGATTATGAATAAGAAAACTTTGGCTTAATGACTTTTTGATATTTCTAATCACACTGTACGTAGTTTGGATACTTTTGAAATAAGTTTGAAAAATAAGAGTGCTATGACAGGATCAATTACAAATAATTTAATGGACAAATGTAACGGAACAAATTTATAGAACCAACAAACTATTCAAAACTGCTCCTCTCCACAATCCTTTCTCAATCCTTTCCTACCAATTATCCTGTTACGTGAATGTTGGAATGCTTCACGTAATAAATTATCCGTAACTCCTATTCTTTCCCGCTTCACAGCATTATTTATATTTGTTAAAAAATTAACATAAAAAATTTACTATCACTGAAAAATATATATAACCGTGAAACGGCGCAAATTCTTATCAAGACTTTTTTGATGTACAAAACAAAATAAATAAATGAACAAATGACATTTATCGCAGAATTCGAATCTATTTAGAACTAATTCGAAAGCTCATAATAAATTAACTATTGCTGGAAAGCATATGAAACATCGAAAAGGTACAAATTCGGGTTAAAAGTTGAAATCTTTCTAATGATACTAAATTTAATTTAAAAAACTCATTTCATCATCTAAATACGCCGGAGACAAAATTATCCGTTTTCTCTTAATTATATCGATTAGTCTTTTAATTATAAAATTCATTTTTTGTTGTTTTTAAAGTTGTATAATTCATTTTAACTGATAAAGTTAAACACTTAAATACGCTAATTATTGACAGCCTGACAAAATTAATTGGTCTAATTAGTGATAACGTGGTACTAATTATTGACAGCCATAATAAACAAAAATAATTAATTTGCTCAACAAGTATTAAAAATAAACATTTCTCAAATTATTTTTAATATTCAAAAATACATCTTTAAAATGAAAACAGATAAATACATCGCTGTCAAAAAAAAAAATTACCTGTCAATACGACGCAGCTTAAATTTTATCTACTTATTATTAACACCCATATTTTTAAAAATAATTGCCAACAAGTTGGTTGTAATCATCTAATTTCTTTTAATTTTCACATATAAAATTTTTTATTAAATTTTTTTTAATAATTTCATTGCTATAATATATTCCTAAAAAATTTTTTATCTGTCAAGTACAGTGTCATGATTTTTTAGATTTGATTTATTTATAAAAAAAAAAAATAAGAAAATGTGAATAGATGAAAAAAATAATGAAAATAATTTTTTTTTAAGAGTCTTATTAGCTGTTTTAACTCGGTCGAGTAAACTTTTTTTTTATCAATATATATTTAATATTTTTTTGGTAATTTAAATTATAAAGATTGTTTAAAAAAATGATTGTTGTCAATATTGTAATTGAATAAATTTTAGAATAAAAAATAGTGTCAATAATTAGTGCTTATACCTTTTTAACTATACAATAGTACTTTCCGTCGTTAATAATGATTTCATACTAATTTATGAAATTTTTCGAAATTTAACTATTTCAATTTCATAAAATTCTATGAAATTTAATAGAAACAATACTTTTAATAATTTTTAATAAAATTCCATTAAATTTCATGAACATTGATAAAATTTAATGAACTAATTTGAAATTTCATGAAATTAAATTGCTCAAAATTTTTAAATTCTATGAATTTCTATTCAACTTTATAAAATCATACAAATTTATATAAAATTAATTGAATTAAAATTACTAATAAATTTTTTATTTCAGGACGTTATCAAGAACCACATTTCTGGTGTGATTCTTTTCCACGAGACTCTGTACCAAAAAGCCGAAGATGGAACTCCATTCGTGACCCTGATGAAAGAGCGCAACATCATCCCTGGAATAAAAGTAGACAAGGGTGTGGTCCCACTGTTCGGAACCGACGACGAGTGCACAACCCAGGGTCTCGACGACCTCCAGGCTCGCTGCATCCAATACAAGAAAGACGGCTGCCACTTTGCCAAATGGCGTTGCGTACTTAAGATCAAGGGTAACACCTGTCCAAGCCGGTTGGCAATTCTGGAGAACGCGAACGTGTTGGCCCGCTACGCGTCCATCTGCCAGAGCGCACGTATCGTCCCGATCGTCGAACCAGAAATTTTGCCTGACGGTGACCACGATTTGGCCCGTTGCCAGCAAGTCACTGAGGAAGTCCTCGCGGCCGTCTACAAGGCCCTCAACGACCACCACGTCTACTTGGAGGGTACTCTTCTGAAGCCCAACATGGTGACTCCTGGACAGAGCTGTCCTAAACGCGCTACTCCCCAGGAAATCGCCTCAGCTACTGTGATCGCTCTTCAGCGCACTGTTCCCCCAGCAGTTACTGGAATCACTTTCTTGAGCGGTGGACAGTCCGAAGAGGAAGCTTCAGTGAATCTCGATGCTATCAACAAGTACCCGGGAAAGAAACCATGGGCTCTGACATTCAGTTACGGCAGAGCTCTTCAAGCTTCTGTTTTGAGAGCTTGGGGTGGCAAGAAGGAACAAATTGCCGCTGGACAGGGAGAACTTATCAAACGTGCCAAGGTATTTATCTATTTTTTCTTCTGGAAAATAATTCAAGATTTTTTTTATTCCTTTGAAAGACAAAATTTTTTTATTTGCAGTCAAAATTGCTTGTAATAAAAATTGCACGGCTCATAAAACGAAGGATTGTAGAATGCTTTTTTTTTTCGCTTGTTTTTTTTTAACTATTTTTAATTCTTATACTTTTGATAAAAAAAAACCTAAAATTTTTCCCATCAAGCAATGTGAAAATGTTCTTAACTTCGACACGAGAACTTGAGGAAAAAAATCTAATATTTAAATGATTATTTATTTCAATTTATTCGTTACATCGAAAGAATACTTGTGATCGTAAATAGTTATCTAATTCGGTGTCATTTAATTATAATTAATAATTGAAAAAATAAATTTTATTTATTACTCTTCAATACATTTCTAAATTTCAAAAATTTTTTCCATGCGCGTAAACATTCTAATTTGAGCTAATGCTTAGTGAGTGAAGGAAATACCGCGAAAAATTTGAAAAAAAAAATTATGTAAATTATTTTTTCTCTTTCTTTGTAAGAGCAACAATAGAATATACTTTTTTTTTTAAAAGTTTAATAAACATTATGAGTCGTGCATTTTTGGATTTTAAATAATTATTTTTGCATCTACATAGAGGATTAAAAAAATTTTGTGTAAATGAACTTAATTTTTTATTTCTACATAATTAGTAATGCATGTATGTGTGTTTATTTATCAACCAAACAATTAAATGTTTAGGCGAACTCATTAGCTTGCCAAGGAAAATATCAAGCTGGTAGCATAGTCAGTAAAGCTGCTAGTGTTGATTTACATGTCAAATCACACACTTACTAATCGCTATTGCCTCAACTCCACTATACTTTTACGTCCTATCACTCTGTCCTATTGTATACTGTTTTTACCTTTCTAAATAGTTTTTATCTGTCTTTATTATATTTTTGTACGACACAATATTTTATTTATGTAAGTATACACAATCTTTATTTTTTTTTTTATCATTTGTCTATTTAATATTTTTATTTCATAATTATTTTTTAACTTGCTTTTTCAATTTCTCATTTTTGCACAATTTTATAACTTTTAATTCTAAATTTTGAATTGATAATTTTTTTTTCATGTAATTATTATTAATGATTAAGACGCTAAATTAAAAACAAGGAAAATTGATGAAATAATGAAAAAATGAATTTGTTTTTAGGCAAATAGTGAAGCTTCTCTTGGAAAATACGCCGGTGGTGTCAGTGGAGCTGCTGGTGACGCTGCATTATTTGTCGCTAATCACGCATACTAATTAATTTATCAACTAAATATATCGATATTTGTTAATCTTCAATATATTATCACAAATAAAAATATAAAGTTATTGACGTGAAAATCGAGTCGAAAATTATAGAAGAATAAATATGTTCGTAATGCAAATAAATAAATTAAATAAATCAAATATATATTTATTGACAGTTAATTTTTTAATCACAACGCAAAAAGTTACCAATTAAAAAAAATTATATAGTTATTATATTTTTTAATTGTATATTAAAAAATATTAATTAATTTATATTGACTTCTTTTTTTTTCAGTCATGCATATTTTTTATGATTTATTTTGTAATATTGAAATATCCAGAGGCTTTATTTAAATATTTAACCAGGATACCTGAAACGAATAAACGAATAAATAGATTAATAGAGAAAAATATGTTTATTGACTAAGTATGTAATCGAATGCTATTAGTTGATGTGTTATTTATTAGTAGTAACATTAAACGATTATACATATACATCATTACTTATGAATATATTGATTGGTGTTTGAAAATATATATTTAAAATTAATCATGTGAGTTTGAAACAAAATTGTAATGGTTTTATTATGTTAATTATTATAAACGATTAACAAATAAATAAAATATTGTGTACGTTGATATTTTGTATGTTATTTCGTTATCTTACGAAAAATTCATTAACAGTAGTCATAAGTAGTAATTTCTTTTTTTCATCTTTATTGTTAATTTTTTCTAATAATATTTAAAAGACATTAATTACTTTTTTTTTTTAATAAATAAATTTTAGAAAACTTTTTTTTTTCATAGCAACTTTTTGTTTAATTTTATTTTTTTTTTCATGAAATCTTGTTAATTTATTGCGGTTCTTTAAAATTAATAAATTTTCATGAATTTATAATTAATAATATTTTAATTTTTCAATCTTTAAGAAAATTAAAATTTTCTTTTTCGGGAATCCCAACATTTCAATACTATTCATTTTTAAGTATTTGCCGCCATTTTAAAATATGGCGGCTTTCAGCTTGACACTCATTTGAGGTCGATAAAAACTCACCCTAAAATTGAATAAAAAAACAAAAACTAACATAAGAAAAAAACGACATTTTTCACCTAAATAACCACTCCAGCATTAAAATTTTATATTTTAATAAATATGTGAACTAGTGCAAATAAATAATTATTAGTGCAAATAAATAAAGGATAATATCTAATTTTATAGACAATCATAAACTGCAAAATATAAAATAATAATGATAATAATAATCGTGTAAATAAATAATTTTATATTGGTGTACGTAATAGGTTGCCTTGGGTACCCCAGGCAACGGTGTTTTAACATTTAACGTAAACAAACTGATTTATTAACTCATCCATTGTCTTGACACATATAGACACCTCCAAAATAGGATTAGCCCTTGCTATTTGGTATCGATAGCAGTTACTATTTTATCTATTCATACATATATATTATTGCGAGAGTTTAATAAAGGTAAGAATATAAAAAATGACGTCTTTGGACATACGCCAGCAAAAATTAGAGCAACAAGTGAGTACTGGATTTCTCTTAAGAAATTTCATCTATTTTTAATGGAAATTTATTAGAAAGGTGCTAATTAATCGTTTTATTGATCAGAGGCAGATTATTGCGCAAAAAATGAGACAGAAAAGGCAAACTGGAGCCGCTGGTATGGTCCAGGCTTCGGCTATACCTGGTGCTACTTTTATTAGTCCTACTGGGAAGTGGGTCGCTCCTGCTAATGACATTCATGGTAATTTTTTAGTTTTTTATTATGTTATCAATAACTTAGATAGTTAAAAACTGGATAGAAATTTAAAAGAAAATATTTTTTTGTTGGGTTTTAAAATTTTAAATCTAATTTATCAAATTAAAAGGTGATTGGGAAAATTTTATATAGGTATGTTCAGATATGACTAGTGACAGATAATCAATTAATATAATATATAATCATACATTGCTAATTCTTAAACATGGTCAGATATAATCTTATATTTTAAAATATGAGTTTTAAGTATTATAAAATTTTAAGCATCGTAAAATTTTAATATTTTTCCCTTATAAGTAAATATTCTATTAAAAATAACTATAAAAATTAACGTAAATTTCTTTTTAATTATGATTATTAAGGTGTTAAGTCGTATCAGGAAAAATAAACTGATTTTCATTGTATCTGAAATGAATACGCTAACAAAAATCAAAAATGTTAGTGGCACTGAAATCAGCAGATGTTTAAAAATTTTTTTGATTTATTTCATTAATTAAATTACAACTAAAAAAAATTGCATTTATAGTTTTTCAAATCTTTTACATGTGAAATTTTTATTTTTTTGTAACAATGTTTTTAATTAGAAAAAATTCTGAAAAATTATCAGATGTCTTCTAATTTCAATTTAATTTTAATTCGATAAAACCTTATTAAAATCAAATGAAGAACATTTTTCTCGGTAACGCCTATCAGAAATGTCAACCGGTCATATCTACAATTACTTAACTAGTGTTGAATTCTTTATGCAAGAGATCAAATATTTATTTATACAAATACTTGGATATAAATGATATATTGCTGATTTCATTAAATTATTTGGTGTAATTTAATTTTAGTTATAAAACGATTGATTGAATATGAATTATTAAAACCTCAAAAGGTAATAATTTTTGGCAATATTCTGGTGTAATTTGAGATAAAAAAGAATTGAAATAACAAGTGATAACTTTAAATAGATATTTTAAACTCAAACCATCAACTGTTCAAAATTAAACTTGAAAAAATAAAAAAAAAAAATTATTTTCTTTGTGAATTACTGTTAATTTTCTAACTTTTGATTTTATATTGCTAATAATTTTTTTCATATTTTATTTATTTATTATTATTCAACGCTATTTGAAATTTACAATAGTTTACCAATAATTGTATAAGTGTAATAATTTTCTTGATTATAATTTGATTTTGTATATTAATATTTTAACACATAAATTCATCTTTTAAAAGCCATTCAATGAATTCAATGTTATATACATTTCAATATTTATTTATTTATTTCCTTTATTTAGACCCAACAGCTTACAGCCATTAACAGGGTCACTAATTTATTAATATTCGAGCTTAGACAAAATTCAGCTATTTATTGTTTTATTTGATCAACTTCTGTCGTTAAATATTAGCTCAAAAATTTACGTTCATGTTTGTATACTTATGTATGTATTATAACACCCGCATTTTTATTATCATCACGATTAGGCTCGTAATCTTCATTGAATATTAATGAAAAGGGTACAGTTATTCTCCGATATGAAGAATAATAATAGAAAAAAATGATCTAACATTACTTAACATGTCATACTGTATTCACAAAGTTTTTAGGAAGTCACTAAAAAATTAAAAAATTTTGAACTAAATTTTTAATTGACTGTATTATATTGAATATGAAATTCATACAGGAAGAAAAAAATTCTTGGCTCCAGTATAAATATTCTTGATTCAAAAAGTAAATTAAAATAATTTATGATCTTTCAATTTTTATTTTTATAAATAATTAGAACAATTAGATAAATATAATGTAACGTTCCAGTTAAATTTATGATATTTAATTAAATTTTTAATTTAAAAATTTTAACTGCTTCGTTGGTGATGAATAAAATTCATCATCAGCGAAGTAATGGAAATCGTTTGTAATAAGAGAGTCGCCGGGCTCTAGCCTAAACATCGTGAGAGCTGGACCGACGACTTCTCTAGGGTAACCTGAGATGCAACGTTATCAATTTTATTAATTATTATAATTCTTTTGTACTCTGGATGCAAATTTAGAGCAGTCAGCCTGAGTAAGTCAGCCGATGAACATCTTCGGTCTCGGACTTGTGTCCGGAGATGGACTGACTATCTATTTTGTTAAAGTTTTCTTATAATATATCTCATTAATCAGAATTGATATTCTTGATTTACTTAAGGGGTTAAACACAGTTCCAATGCTAAAAAGATAACATTTTTTTATGAATTTTTTATAGACACAGTTTTTATTTATCAATTACAAGTGATGGTTATTTAAATAGAGCCTACTTTCAAGAATATATTAGCGCGTCAATCATGTAAAAATATACATGTGCATCGCTCTTGTAGAAGATGTTCCAAACGACCTCTAAAAAAAGGCGCTTGGCGGTGATCTCCATTTCGGCGGTTTGAATTATCTGAAATCAAAAAATATGGTGAATTATTTTAAAGGATAGATTAATGCAGATATTGGACGAAGTAATAAGAAAAATTTTGATTTTTGACAAAATGGCGTCTATTTGTAACAAATTTTTCGTTTTTGTTAAAAAAAAATTTTTCAAATTGTTAAAAAAAAAAAAAAATAGTAATAATTTTTTTAAATGTTATTTCTTCGTCCAATACCTGCATAAATCTATCTTTCAAAAGAATTTACCACATTTTTTGATTTCAGATAATTCAAACCGCCGAAATGGAGATCACCGCCAAGCGCCTTTTTTTAGAGGTCGTTTGGAACATCTTCTACAGGAGCGGTGCACATTTATATTTTTACATGATTGACGCGCTATTGTATTCTTGAAAGTAGGCTCTATTTGAATAACCATCACTTGTAATTGATAAATAAAAACTGTGTCTGTAAAACATTCATAAAAAATGTTGTTTTTTTAGCCTTGCAACTGCGTATAACTCCTTAAACCCTATAAAATCCTTAAAATTTAAAAGAGAGGTAAGCAACAGACCCACCTGAGGTCTATCGACACCCTAACGAGGCCAACCTGGAATTTAAAAATATTAAAATCTTGTTCTGGGAAATCCAGAACGTGACAATAAATTTTAAATATTTGATTAAATTTTATCTAATTACTTACACAAGATATAATTTTTCATCAGTCAAAATTAATGATAGAACTTGGAAATTGAGTTATATAATTATAAAAAAATGAAATTAACTTATTTCTTTATTTTTTCACAGTTTTTGATGGATCAATGCAATACACAATGTCACCAACAAAAAGCAATAAAAATCTCAGTGACATTAAAACTCCGACTGTCGAATTGCAACACACGGACAATGTGTTTGACGAAGCTTTAGAGACTAGGGACTGCGTTGACGAAGAATCTTCACCGCTGGACACTCGATTAGGTGGTGAGCCGATTTCCCTGAGGTCTACGCTTCCAGTTGCTCCTTCGGATCCGGATGCTGTTATCGTTAACCGTGAAAATAACTCAAATGTAACGCCAAATTTTCAAAAGATTCATTTGTTACTTCATCACTTATTTGTATTTTTAAAAAATTTTATTAACTACTTTTCAGAGCCCGGAGTTGGAAGGAAATGTTGAAGGTAATATTGAGCAATTTGTACTACAGCCGGCAAATAAAAAAATGCATTACAAATGTCGGATTACAAGAGATCGTAAAGGTATGGATCGTGGATTTTATCCCACGTATTTTTTACATCTCGAACGTGATTATGGTAAAAAGGTAATTTTTAATTTGTGCTTTTATTTTTGATCAGTTAATTTTAAAATTAAAGTGGATAAATTAAGAGCACCAGTTATTGACGTTCATAATAATTAAATAAAAGTCAGTAAATTGCTAAACTAAATACAAATCAAGTATAAGCATTAATAAATAATAGTTTGAAAAAACTAAAAAAATACGCTATAATAGAACACTCAACTAAAAAGTAGAAAATAATTTTCAATAAATTTAAAGTAAAAATAGAACGATTAACAAAAAAAATTCAATTTATTGTAAAAAAGCATAGGGTGCTTGATATCAATTGCTATGAATATTTTATTAACAAATATTGGTAAATGTAGAGTTATTGTTAAAATATCTTAATAAGCACCCTACGCTTTTTTACAATAAAATAAATTTTTTTGTTAATCATACTATTTTTATTTCAAACTTTTAGAAAATTATTTTCTCCTTTTTAGTTAGGTTTTATATTAAAGCGTATTTTTTAGGTTTTTAAACTACTATTTATTTTTTACTTTTTAGTTCGATTTTCTATTGAAGCGTTTTTTTTTTTTTTAGTTTTTTAAACTATAATTAAAATTGTAACTACCTCTCTATGAGGGAAGTGAATAATTTGCGCACCTGCTGCTTTATTTGAATAAGATAACCGTTTTCCAGGCTCTTTCACCATTAAACTCAAAATCGCTAATCCTAACGACCCTTATCAGGATAATGGGTCAAACTTATCAAATTATTGTATTGTTATCAATCCTTGATAAGTGTGCAGTTTTAATTTAATCCGAAGTTTTAAAGTGGCCGAAAATCGAGTTCAAAGACTCCATTACATTCATATATACGTAGATACAGGCGTAGATAAGCTAACTAAAAAATTCAAATAAAATAAATAATTATGAAACTAGACAAATAGTATTACAGAAATTTTATGGGAATGAAAACTGTATATAAAGATAGTTGAGAAAAAAAAATCTTTATATTCAGTTAACATAAAAGAAATACCTTCAATTATTTGAAAATATGAAAGTAAAGAAATTCAAATGTGTAGTAAAAAAAGATTCATAAAAACATCCTTATTTTTATGCAAATTTAATTATAAACATAAATAAATAAGGATATTTAAAAATATTTAAAAATCTAACTTCAGACAGTAGTAATAAACAACAAAAAAATTATTCGACACGTCAAAATATGGACATGTGCGAATGTAGGAAACAATAACAAATAAACATCTCTCATTGTAGACAAGAAATTTAAGAAATCTCTCAATTTAGACATCTCTCAGCTGAGAAGTCTATCAATTAGAAATTTATAAATTTCTCAAAAAAAAAAAAAAAAAAAAATACATTGTTTTCGACTCTAAAAAAATTACTCACGCTTAAAAATTATCGACGCTAATTTGGAAAAGCCCGCTAATTTCTGAAATAACTGTTACTTAAGCTAGTCAGACGCCCTGTAAAAAATTTTATGAACTTATTAATTATTAATTAACAATCATTAATTTTTTTGAATTCTTAAATTATAAAGATCAGATAAAAAATTCTACAATAGTTATTAACATCGTAGATAATAAAGTCAATCTTGAATTAAAATAGGGTAGCAATAATTGGACCCCTGTCAATAATTTGGTGCTTTTACCTTAAGATATAAAATTATGTAGAAATTTTTTTGGTAATTGTCCTTTTATTCTCAGGTATTTTTACTGGCGGCGAGAAAACGTAAAAAAAGTAAAACAAGTAATTACTTAATATCTACGGACCCAACGGATTTATCCCGTGACGCAGAGTCATTCGTCGGTAAGCTGCGGTCGAATTTGATTGGCACACAATTCACAGTCTACGACAATGGATACTCACTAATGAAGGATGATAAAAAGCACAATGAAAGAGCTAATCCGCGGCAAGAATTGGCAGCTGTTGTCTATGATACTAATGTACTAGGTTTCAAAGGTCCTAGAAAAATGACTGTCATCATTCCTGGAATGACACCTGATCAAAAACGAATATCTATTTGTCCTCGTGATGATTCTGAAACACTTTTAGGTAAATTAAATATTTTTTTTTAAAGACTAAAAGTTTACTTAAGGTTCTACAAATTAATTTGGTATTTCAGAAAGTTGGAAGATGAAAAATATGGATAATTTAATTGAGTTACATAATAAAACTCCAGTATGGAATGATGATACGCAATCATATGTTCTTAATTTCCACGGAAGAGTTACACAAGCTTCTGTTAAAAATTTTCAAGTTGTACACGATACTGACAGTAAGTTTTTTTCTTTTAATTTTAAATAATCAAATAAGCAACTATAAAATAAAAAATTTTTAAAATAATAGAAAGGGCTTAGACAAGATATGCTGTTTATTAGATAAAATATTTCTAAAATAACCGCTAAATTATTTATCTCATGATTGAATCTTATTATTTCAAACGCGGCTGATAATTATTTACCACCTCTGAATGTAATCAGTAAGATGCAAGCGGATATCAAACATCTCACAGCAAATAATAATTATCTAAATTCAAGCACTGGGAGTTTGGTCTCAAACTTGGAGGCTATTTTTTGAAGATTTTTATCCAGCATAGCCTCCGTCTTTTTTGTCTGTTGAATTCAATCACAACGGACATATTGTTTATTATTTTATTTCATGGACTTTAAGTTGGTAAAGTTGAAACAGTACCAGTGAATTAAATGTTTCTCTAATTTTTTGGTATAATTTTATACTTTTTTCATTTTGAGAGTCGATTTTCGTTGAATTTAGCACCCGCGTTTGTTTTTATGAATATGTCTGATTTTCAAACTTTGTTTAAAAAAGTTTTTAAGAATCGTGATTGATCTCTTCTTGCATCAAATAGTAAATTTGCATTTGAGAATGAAAAATTTTTTAATTAAAAATCAAGTATTTTAAACTTAAAAAAAAAATATTGTTCTGAAAAATCGATAAGACTCGTATTAAAATTTAAAAATATTTTATAAAAAATAAAAAAAATTTATTATTCAATTATTGATATCTAGTCCCTGTAGCCAAAAATGTAATAATCATACATAAAACAATAAAATACTATAAAATTAAATTAATGGAATAAAAGTTATTTTTATTAACAAATGCATTAATTTTCACAAATGTCATTACAAGTTAGTATTTTTAAAAGAGTTTTTTAATTTCCCGCTATGAAAGTCAATGATTCTCAATAATCGGGAAGTTATTGGTTTTACTCCGATCGATTTGTTTCTTTATTAATACCGAATAATTAATTGTCTCCAAAATAAATTTTTATATTTAATTTTTTTTTTAAAAAAATATTTATCAAATTTTCGCAAATATTTTACAAGAAATTTACTAAGGGGTCTTTCTAGTTCCGGCGCTCGAAAAAAGCTAATATTCATGATTTTTTTACACAAACTATTGTAAATACCAATATAAGATTTATTTAACTCAACAATTACATTCCTGAATAACACAAAAAATATCTAAATTGATTTATTGTTTAAAATTTTTTTATATGAATTAAACAACAGGTGAACGGAGCTCCTCCAAAAGTTGAAATGTCGCTAACATACATGATAACTTCATAGCGACTCATCTAAAACCAGGAAACAAAATTATTTACATTCAATATATAAGTAGTTATTGCATCATATCTGATACGGAGATTAATATTTATTGATAATTAACACAATAGCGGACTTTAAAAAGAAAGAAAAAACTGAAAAATAAGGCTTTTTTTTAGTTTTATTTCTGAACAATAGTAAAAATTAAAATTTTGATTTTATTGTAGCTGATTCAATAGCTACTACTGTGAACAGTATGTGGTTTGAATTTCATTAAGATTTGGTTAGTGGCTGCGGAGATATCATGTACGTCAAGCAGAAATATATAGCTCTGAGATAAACGCGTTTAAAGTTTTTTTAATTGAAAAACAAATTTTCACCTAAAATCAATCAGCAATGCCAGCACAATACAAAATCCCTTGAGCAATTTCAAAAAAGAAGTGCCTATTTACACGTAAAAAAGTCCTGATAAATCCACGCCGCGTGAATATGAGGGCTTTTACATTCACGCAGCGTAGATTTAAGGGCCTTACATTCACGCGACATGTCCTTTCAAAAATTTGATTTTTTTTCACTCGAACATCCATATTAATATCGTAAAGTAATATAGTTACAGTGGTCCGATCACTTGGTAATTTTAACAAAATGCATTTAGATATATGTACTTTCAAAAAAATATAAAAACAAAAATAAAATTTTAGTAAAATTAAGTTATAAACCCGAATGACCCTTTAATTTCTTAAATTTTTATTGTAAAAATATAAACAGTTGCATATTTGATTAATTATGTATTAATATTTCTATAAATTAATTATTAAACTAAAAAATTTTTCAGCGGATTACGTTGTAATGCAGTTTGGACGTGTCGCTGAAGATGTATTTACAATGGATTATCGTTTTCCATTATGTGCATTGCAGGCTTTTGCTATCGCACTGAGTAGTTTTGATGGTAAACTTGCATGTGAATGAGTTTTAATAAATTGATAAATTATATACTTATTAACTTATTAATAAAAAAAAAAATCTACAAATCATAAATATCAACAAATTAAATCATATTTAATTATGTTAACAAAGATAGATATTAAAATATATAGTTATAAAAAAAAAAAAAAAAAAAAAAACATTCCAGTGAAATGAGTAACATAGTTAAGTAAAGATTGAATATTAATAATAATAGATTTAATAGTAACTAATAAATTGTTTCAATATAAGAAATGAATGAAACTTTTTTATAAAAAAAATTAAATAATGAAAAGAATATTAAAAGTTAAATTTCAAAATAAAATCTAAGTGAAGAAATTTTAGTTTTCAGATGAGAGAAGTTAATTATTTTTTTTTTAGCAAAAAAAAAATATTGTAAAATTGTACATTTTTTAACTGCATGACTAAAAAATAAAATTGTTCTTAAACTAAATTAATTCCAGACAATCAAAATCTAGAATTTAAAAAATTAATTTTTTTATTTTTATCAATTAAAACTTCTCTTTAGAAACGCAAGACTAACATCTGTGTTCACTACTGTTGATTAAAACTGAGGATCTGACACTAAAATAATATAAAAAAAAAAAAATAAATAAAAAAAAAATCATTAGACACTTTAGTCATTTTGTACTTAAATATTTCTTCTTTTAAATTTTAATGTGTACATTTTTTGTTATTTTATTTAATGTTAAATATTAACACATTTAATTTACTCACTTATTGTATATTGATCTCAAATAGTGCCTCATGATTTTCTACGTCTTTTTCACGGCATTATACACTGAAAATTGTTTATTTAGATTTAAATTATAATTTAAGTAAGTCACAGTATCATTTTCTTTACACTACTTATTCTGAAAATTTGTAATTGTATATTAAAAAATACATATAGTTATTTAAACTTGACGCAATTTTTCATTACACATTTCATAATTAGTTTCATAACAATGAAAAATCATTTGATTTGTCCGGGATTTGATCCTAGTTCTCTTTGCGCACAAGTTGAAGCCTCTTGCTGCTCGCCGTGCATATTTTTTGACACAAAGAAATTTTATAAATTTTTTTTTGTCTAAAAAAAAGATGAATAATTAGAAAAATTTAATTATTTTATTTATAAACATTTTAGACACAATTAAAGTTGTTTTTTAATATCGCTTTATTTTTATAAATTCACTTGCTCTTCAAAATAAACTAAACAAAATAATGTGTTCATGATTTAAAACAAGTAAAATTGCAGTACACTAAAGTACAGTATTAATATAATTATTAATAAAAAGGAAACTGAATTCAGAACAAATATTTATTTGTATTCAATAAAATTAAAAGTAATGACTTTTAGGATAGCACAATAAAAAACAAAAAAAAATAGAAAAATCTTAATAAAAATAATTTTTTTACATTGTTAAATTTTTGTTTTTACGTTAATTAATGACTAACTATAATTATGTACTTTATAAATGCACTTGTGTGTAATTTAAAATTAAGTATTGTATTTTTTGTTTATTATAGACAGATAAGTATTCTTATTTAGTATTATTAATAATTTGTTGTTAACTAGTGAGTGTGTCTAGTCTAACATTTGTAACTAGTTTTAATAAATAAATAAATAAAATAATTATGGGTTTATTTATTGTTTTTTGGTTTTTTAATAATTGAAGGAACAGTAAGTAATGTTTTGACCGGATTAGCGACAAAGATGGCAATTTTGAGAACTTCATTCATAATAAATGACACATAAATTTTTTTTTTATTAGACTTGACAAAAAATATGAGTTTGAAAGAATAAAAGTTTCGATTTGATAATTGTATTAACGGGATCATTCTAGCTTGTAACTTTAAAAAAAAATTCATTTTTTTTTTTATATTTTTTGAAAGTACATATATCTAAAAGTATTTCGTTAAAATTACCAAGTGATCGAACAACTGTAACTACATCCGTATTTTATGATATTAATATGGATGTTCGAATGGAAAAAAATGAAATTTTTAAAAAGGTTCAAGGGATTTTGTATTGTGCTGGCCTCCGGTGATTGATTTTAGGTAAAAATTTTTTTTTCAATTAAAAAAACTTTAAACGCGTTTATTTCAGAACTATGTATTTCTGCTTGACGTACATATCTCCGCAACCACTAACTAGATATTAATGAAATTCAAACCACATATTCTTCACAGCAGTAGCTATTGCATCAGCTACAACCAAATTAAAATTTTGATTTTTACTATTTTTTAGAAATAAAAACTGTGAAAAAAGCCTCATATTTATGTTTTCTTTTCTTTTTAATGTCCGCTATTGTGTTAATTATCAATAAATATTAATCTCCGTATCTGATGCAATAACTACTTATCTATTGAATGTAACTAATTTTGGTTTTTGGGTTTTAGATGAGCCGTTATGAAGTTATCATGCATGTTAGCGACATTTCAACTTTTGGAAGAGCACCTGTTGTCTATTCATATAAAAAAATTAAAAAAATAAATCAATTTAGATAATTTTTGTGTTCTTCTTCAAGAGTGTAATTGTTGAGATGAATAAGTATTACATTAATATCTGTAATGTTTTTTGTGTAAAAAAATCATGAATATTAGCTTTTTTTTGAGCGCCGGAACCAGAATGACCGCTTAATTTAATTATATAAAATTATCCTTGACATGATATTATTAAAAATAATAATATTTATTTTTAATTAAGTTTGTTACATAAATAATGATAAATTAAATTTCTTGTTAGAAGTTCCAAAGAGAAATTAATTGCATATTTTAGTTCTTAATATCATTTTTCAAAAGTATTTTAAAAATCAGCAGTGTTTTAGTCTTCTTGGTCATTGTATTAAAAGAGTTATGCCTATAAGTTAGAATTAAAAAAAAAATTTATTTTTTCTACACTTTCAAAATATACATATACTCTAGCTGTTACCCGCCCGCTTCGCTGGGCGCTTTATAAAATTGCATTTTTAGATCTAGACTTGAAATTTAATTATTGTTTTGATTTGCTTAGATTTTAATTGAGTATTAAAAGTTTAGTTAAAGTCATTGCAAGTCTCAAAAGTAAAGTTGAAATCTGTATAGCTTCAATTGCGAAGAATTTTTTTGTTATTTCAAGTTTTCTCAGTGACATCAATATTTTATAGAAAATAAATCTAACATTTTTTTTACGAATTCTATTTAAATAGGTAGCCAAATTTACTTTTCACATACCCAGTGTTTGGAAAATGTATTCATTTTAATCAGATACATTCCCGCGATCCCGCAATAAGAACAATTTATAAGTTATGTAATCAGCAAAAATAACATGTATATAAAATTCTTAATCCGTTGACCAAATTACTACATGTAATATTAAGTTTTGGAAACCTAACAATTACTTTTTTCCCGCTGCTAAAGGAGACGTTTGGTGTAAGAAAATTTTTAGTAAATGTTATTAAATCTCAATAGATATGGTCGAAGTTTCATGTTTCAAAAAGTTCTAGTTTATAAACAACAGCATTTTCAGTGGATTTCATAGATATCTAACTATTTTATTTCATGAAACCAATTAATTCTTAGATAATTATCATAACCAAACATACGATCAGCATATAAACAGAAATTTTTGACACTTAGTTCACCAAAAATAATTAGCTTCTTTTTCTTGAACTTTTTTTAAATGACGTTAAATCAATCAAATATCAAGGTCATGTAATAAAAACAAAAGAAAATCGTATTAAAAACAAATGAATAAAAAATGAGAGTCTTTTGTTTTTCTTAGCGGGAAAAAATGTATGTAAAAGTAAATCGTAAAGAAAATGAGAAATGGTTGATAAAATCCAAAAAATAAGTAGCCCATAAAATCTACGGAAAATTCTGCGTCGAATGGTAGCGGTCCTATCCCGATAGCTTTAGTGGTCTTGACGTCAACTTTAGTCAAAGAAACCCTATTTCGCTCATTTATTTTACACTCACGCATCCGCCCACGCGTCCACCCAAGCATCCACCCACCCATCCGCCCACGCGTTGGTAGATGGAACTAAATTCTCACACAGAAAAAAAAGTCATCTTGACTCAAGAAAATCTTTTTCTTCAAAATTTACTTCTTGTTTCAAGTTCTTGTTTATTCTTGAACTAATAATGTCATATACTTATCCCAAGTAAATCTTTCTCTTGGTTTGGAAAGTAGCGCCAACGTTGGCGACGTGATTTTTTGGAACTAAACCGAGATTTTTTTAATAAAAAATTAAATTTAAAAAAATAACCTTATGCATGATTTTTATTGTTTGTGTTCATTTAATTAGACATTTTTAATTAATTTTTAACTTGCTGATTTCCCATTATATTACTGATTTACAGTTAAGTGTGTAGTGACGAAAATATTTGTATAATAAGTATTCGCTCGACTCATACAAAGTACACGGTAAGAAATTTGTTGCGTTAATAACTTAATAACTATAAGTGATATCGACAATCAGAAAAAAGATCCTTAAAGAGGAGGAAATTTATGAAAAAAAGTCTCGACTCCCGGAACTCTAGCTCCATAAACAATAATTTTTATTTAATGTTGAAAATAGGAAGCGAACCTTATTTTTACTATTAAATAAAAATTATTGTTTCTAAAGCTAGAGTTCCAGGAGTCAAGACTTTTTTTTCAGAAATTTTCTCCTCTTAAAGGATCTTTTTTCCGATTTTCGATATCACCTATAGTTATT